CAAAGAAACTCCGAAGACATGTAGAAATTTCATACAATTATGTATGGAAGGTTATTGGGATAACAATATATTTCATACACAAGGTGGTGATCCTACAGATACAGGAGAAGATTGTAAAATATATGGAGAGCCATTTAAAGTGAGACTATATTTGAAAATAAAATTAATTCCTTTTTTATTCAAAAATAATTATTGGATATATGTGTTTTAGGACAAATTTCATACAAGATTACGTTTTTGTCGACGAGATTGCTATGACTAATGCAGGAAAAGATGACAATACTTCCCAATTCCTCTTTACTCTTGGTTCTACATCAGAATTGCAGAGTAAACATACAATCTTTGGTAAAATTACTGGAGAAACTATATATAACATGCTTAAACTTGAAGAAGCACTTGTAGATGAGGTAAATTTAATGTCTGCAAGAAAATATATCAGGAAATGATATAAATATCATATTTTCTCTTCTTTGTAGAATGATAGACTACTTTATCCTCCAAGATTGTTAAAATCTATAATATTGAACAATCCATTTTCTGATATTACACCAAGGATAATAGTACAGAAAAGTGAAGAAGTGAAGGACAGTTCAAAAACTAAAACAGCAGCAGTAAAGTAAACATCATATGTGTTTGTAGCATTTAGCTATGATAGTATTAGTCTTTGCAATGAAAAATTTTGTTACAGAGATTTCAATCTTTTATCATATGGTGAAGAAGCAGAGGAAGATGAAGAAGAATCTGTGATATTAAATAAAATGTTTAGCGGTAAGGGCAAGTCAGCTCATGATCATTTAACTGATCCAAAATTAAGCTCACAACCAGCTGTTGAACTACTTGTACTTAGAAATAAAGAAAGGAAAAAAGACCATTGTAGCGATTGGGAAGGTGAAGACGAAGTAAATACTCCAGAAAAATTAGAAGTTATATAGAAAGAAAAAGAGTTAGTTTATTGTTTACATTATAACTATGTTATAGAAAGTAGGAATATTTATTGACTGTCTTATATTTATATTTTCAGAGCAATGAAGGAAAGAATAAAAAATAAATTGAGAGACCCAAAAAAGGAACCGAAGCAAGCAGAAAATTGTAAAATAG